GTTACGATAATGCTGCCACAATGTCTGAAATCCATGGAGGTGTTCAGGCCATTCTAAAAGGAACAATAAGAAAGCAATTTTTAAAGGATGTGTGGGCCATTCGCTTAACTTGTCTGGTCAACGCTCTTTTGCAGAAAATGCTTCATGTATTACAATTATACTTCTTTGCTGGATCCACTTACCGATGGAATTTTCTAATTGAACACACTGGAATGACTTTGAAAAGACTGTCAACAACGCATTGGAATGCTCATCATGTTAAAACAGAGAAATATGAGTTTGATGAATGTGGGGCGGCGATTGAAGCTGTATGTAACCCTCTTGAAAATTTGGATACAAGAGGTACAGCACAGGGTCTTTTACATGCTGTCTGTGATTTCACGTTTATCTGCTACCTTAACCTACATGAGGAAGTTAATCTTATACAGCAGTGTCTGCAGACTAAAAGGCTGTACTCTTGACAAAGTAGTGACAAACCAAGAGGCCTTAAGATTGTTTCTGAACGAGAAGCGCTGTCACTTGGTGGAACATGCTATTGAAAAGGCACGTTTAAAATTGGACCAATATGGAATTTCGGTAGAGAGAAGATGAAGGTTTAAGAAGAGAATGTCAGGAGAACAATTAATAAATGCTTAACTCTCTCTGCGAGAAGAAAACAGTAGGGAGATGTTGGAGTGCATTGGTAACTTTCTTTGGAAACTCCAGATTAAATCATTAGCGATCCAGGTAGTAGAAGATATGGTTGGGGCTGAATAACCCAAGAGTCGAGTATCAGCAATTGAAGAATAGTTATTGGTGTCCTAAAGGCAGCTGATATTGAATTTCACAATGTCATGAACTGGTCTGTATTTGATGTTTTGAAATTCATAGCTGAATGGGACTTCCTAGAATCTCTTTCAATACTCTCGTTAAGCCTTCAATTATTTCTTACGATATGTGTGTCTTGTGGCCTCGTGTGAGCAGAGCTTTTCAAAACTAAGGTTTATCCAACATGGGGAAGTCAAGGCTTTCTGATCTGGAGCTGCTATCAATTGAAGGTGATACAGTTAATGCCTTTGATTTTGATAAAGTGATTAACATGTTTGCAGCTTAGAAGACCAGGAAAGGAACATTTTAAATAAAGTAAATTTTATGTAAAAATAACTATAACTTATTTTTGTTACAATTATTAAATACATTGACATCATGACCTTCAATTAATGTGTTTTTTTTCTTGTCATTGTTATACTGTGGACTTAATTTAACAAGAAGAAATCCAATAAGGAAGTTTGGGGGGGGGGGGGTGACACCATGAGTTTACCGCACCGGGTGACACCAACCCTAGCTACGCCACTGATCTAAACCAACTTCCGTGGAAAAATTTCTTTCGTTCAAATTTTCGGATACGGTAAAAGTTGTATACCGTCAAAATAAACGAATGGTATATCGGGTCATCAGAAAACCCAGGAAGATATATATATACATATATAATGTGCGAGTCAGATCTGATGGTGTCCCTGAGTGGAGACGAAGAATCTGTTCAAGTTGAAGGATGTGACGAAGCATGACTAGGACAGAGTTCTACTTGGTTTTTAGTATCAATTATTATGCTGACGGCGATGTTCTGATGTTCTCGTCTCGTGGAAATGAAAACGGGTAAGTCTTCTTCGGCATGGCACACTTCATATCTCATGAAAATAGCATTGTGTGGCACGCGTGTCGCCGTGAGAATAGAGCACACTGATCATGCAACACGGCATATGTGTAGTTAAATGAAAGTGCATTTTTTATATTAACAAAAACTAGGCAAAAATAGTTAATACAGACGGTTCTTCTTTATTCTTTATGAGTTTTGGTTAAGGGGGGGGGGGGGCGCTGGTCATCGTTTTCCCTGTAGTACAAGAAAAGCTGAGACAACTTCACGCCGGAAGAGAATTATGCCATACCAAGGAAGCTTTACGGGAGAAAAAGCATCCGAAACCGGAAGTGTATCGGGCAACCCGGCCTTCTGAGATAGTTGATAGTGCTCCAGAATCTCTGACTTCTCACGTGTAAATGAATCCACACGCCCAGTTCTAAACACACCCCCCTCCACTTTCCTTCTTTTAGCATCCTCTCCCTAGCACAAGATGAGGCTGTTTATAAAA